GTTCTGTGCATGCTTTGAAGTAAAAAACATTGGCTCACCATTGAACACAATGTCATCAGAGGTGAACGCGGCATCAAGAGTGGTCACAGCATCATTTATTTACGTAGTAGGTTCAGAAAGAAGGATAGTCAATGCAAACAAAAATTCAGAAGTAATCCTAATCCAGTAGACAGTAGTAATTACCCACACCAAATTTCAAACCAGCATGTAAGGCCAAAAACTCTCCCTCTTAGAAAAAGGAGGCTGTAAAATCAGTGCAGATTTCTGTTTGTTCAGATAGCACAGCTGCCCACTGCCCCCAGAATGCCTCACCTGGCTCAAGGGCTGAGAGGCTGACAAGGAAGAGTATCACCTCTCAATCACTGGCATTACTAATTCACAGAGCATTTGGGAAAGGGAGAACTCCACAGAAAATCACGCCCTGACCAAACCCAACCCTGGTTTATTTGAAGATCACTATCTGAGACGGCACAGCTGCAGGCATACAGGAAACAGTAAGCACTTCAGAATATGCACTCCCATGCTGAAAAAGTGAGGTGAATATATGTTTGTTTAAATACAATTCTGTCTGAATCCCCAAACTGCTACTATGGCATCATTGTTTCCACAAGAAAAGCTGCTTACAATGATGAGTCCAGGGACTATCTCTTTTTTTCCTATTAATTAGGGGGCTAATTCCGCATCCACAGGAGGGTAGCTTACAATACAGTAGAATAATGAAACCATCTGTGTTCTGAGTCATTCAAAACTCAAAGACACTTGCTTATTGCATTTCCAGAAGAGAGTAAAGGCTGCAACCACGTTACTTTTCAGAGGTTATTTCTGAAACTATACATTCTAAAACTTAAAACTGAAATAATTCTATCTAAAACAGTCATATTTAGGCAAATTTATTACACATTACTTAGGGACTGATCCAAAAAGAATGTTCTCCCCACGGCTGCTAGCCCATATGAAAGTGCAAAAAATCCTTTGGGGCTCTACAGCTGCAAGAGAGATTTGCGTATTGAGAGATAGGTGAGGTTGGTTGCAAGCAATACCTTCTTTAATCAGAAAAGGAAAAAAAAATAGAAAGAAAAAGAAAGATGGTGATTTCACTTAGATCTTCTTTGGAAATGGTTCCCAGAATAAAATTTCTGGTGAAAACAGAAGGGGAAAACCAATTCCAGAGCAGTGAGGCTGGGGCTGGGGATTCACCCACCTATTCCGCATTCCGATTAAGGATCTTATCACTGTATTAATTCCCTGACAACATATCACTGGTTACTGTGGAGGAGAGAAGAAGGGAAACAGTTGGAAGGAATGAAAGGCAGAGAGATTGTTTCTCAATATCTGTCTAAAAGTGTGTCACCCCATATAAATAATGTAATATTCATCAGCACACAGGCTCAAACCTGAGTTGTCTGCATTCAGCCCTGATTGATGTTATAGAGACTGCAAAATTTATATGAAAATACTCCTAGGACCAGGTAAAGGGCATTAAATTCTATGAGGGAAAAAAAAGACTTGCAGGTCTCACTTGCTAGGAAGTGTACCTCTAATAATCTCTGAACTCGACTGCTTGGATAAAAGCAAAAATCTGAACACACTTGCCTTCCCTCAACAGTGAGGTTCATAACTGTCTGTGTCAGGATGGTTAGGTTTCCTTTGCACTTTCTGAAAAGTTATCTTTTTCATTTCCTAAGGCTGGAGAAGAATAGATCTGAAATCTTGAAGGGACCTGTACAAGAAACTATTCTCCTAGCTGCATCCAGAAGACAAAAGATGAAGGACATGAAGCACTAGTAGGAACTGGTATCCACTCCCTCAAGTTTCCAGTTCTCTTGATTCCTCAAATTGTATTCAAATGTCTACCCTATCTTATTGTCATATCAAAATAACATTTTACTCTATCAATATTGCTATTTCTTACTCTGATTTTAGCAGCTTAAAAAGTCTGCTAAAGATTTGAGCAACATGGCAACAGCTGAACACAGCAGTATTAATGCTGCTGTATAAATAAATCAAGCTTGCCAAGCAGCAACTTTACTCCAAAGGCAGGTAGCAAGTAACCTTATTAATGTCAAACAGTTGTGGCCAGCAGGCAATAAGTAAGGGAAAGAAAAATAAAGCAGAACAAAACCCAAAAAATTCTCTACTAGAAAAACTGGCTAGTAAGGATTGTACTCCTGGAGACAGAATTTTTATTGCTGGTGTCAATATCATTAGCTTACTAGTAGTTCTAGATGTGTTTCTCTTTTTACTTACTCTCATAATTTTCTTATGCCTAGCAGATGAACTTACTGAAAGATCACTACCTCTGATTCAGTACCTAACCTCCCACACCTTTGCAGGTATTTTGAGACACATATGTTAAGGAAGGTTCATTTTTTAGATTTTCTTAGCTATATAAAACACTTATGGGACTTGCAGGGAGCAAAAAATACAGCATTACACTGAAACGGTCACACTAGGTCTCCTTCAACAGCCTACCTTCAGCAAGAGACCTGAGTAGATGCCCAGTAGAATAGTAAGAAACAGGGCAGGTCTGAAGTATTTAGTGGTTTGAGGTTTTTTGACTGATAGTGTCCAAGGCTCCAAATATTTTCAGTTTTAAAATTTATCAATTCAAGTATGCCTTTATCTATTTAGTCATCCTCAATGGATCCATGGACATATCCACTCTCTCTTTGAAATAATCTAAACTTTTAGTAGTGAGCACCATGTTAGCATAACATAAACTTTAGGATTCCAGGAACTTAATGACTGATGTGGAAAACAGCAGTGTTCAAACTCCTCCTCTCTCAGTTCAGTTCAGTTCAGTTCAGCTCATCTATCTGTCTGGAACCTACTTAAAAATCCCTGTGAAGAAGTGACCTTTACAACCCCTCTCTCAGAAAATCAAGTTTTATTCTTTAGAAATATACCAGATGAAAGTTAATGAAAAATAAAACTTAGAGGAGGATATCCCTGGATCTTGGTACAAAAGCGACATCCCACTTTTACCACAAGCTACACCATCTTAATACTGTATTATACTATCAAAGTATTCAATGTATTTTTAGGAATGTATTGTAAAGAATTCCAGCAACTGCTCTTAATGTTCTTTTGTTTGGCAAGTGACATTATCCTCCCTCAATGGTTAAGATAGCAAATTACCAGACACCCTAAAGAATGCAACAGTCTAGCCAAACCAAGAAAAACCCACTTTTAACACCAGCAGCCTCGCCAACTACCACTCAGTTTACAACCTCCTCTTCCTTGGCAATGTCTTTGTAAAGGTAGTGGCATCCAAAAGCTAACAGCACCTATCCGTTGCCAGCGCCCTGGCTCCCTGTCATACAGGCATCAGACCAAAACATGATAGAAGAACAAACCCTCCTGGCACTGCCAGTCCGCATGCTCCTGGCCTGGGACTGAAAACAAACCTCAGAGTGGATATCCTCTGGGGCTCTGTCAGAAGTGGCTGCCTGGTTCTAATTATAAGACTCATCTGAAACATAATAAGAAAGAACAGGACAGCAGTCCTTTTCCCAGACAAGCTGAACAGAGTGCAACTCCCTCTCATTCTGCTGCATAGCCCCAGAAGTCCTGTATTCTGCAGTCCCACAAACCTCAACACTTTCTCCCTGACAGTTTAACCCCAAGACACTGTCACACGGGGAAGCTGAACAATGCTAGAAGTTCATGTATCCTCAAATAGACAGATGACATTTAATTATGCCTCTGTCTCTGCTTAAATGAAGGGTTTCAAGGAAAGCAAGGCACAGCTTCCATTTTCTTTTCCCACTTGGCAGCAGATAAAAGTATAATACTGCCAGCAGTGACTTCAAAGCATGAGAAAGTGTTATGCTCAGATTTCAAGCAGGAAGTTTCATGATGAAACCAGCAACAGATTCCTGGGCCCTCTATCTCCTTCTGTCTTTTGGGACACTGGAGATTGTCAAACATTGGGGCATCTGGTCTTGCCCCACAAGGCTGCCAAAATAAAACCTATACAGATCATCTGTGCGTCCCAGGGCTCTGTTGCTGGCAGCAAGATTACTCCTTGCTTACAGTAGCCTGGGGTTGAGATTGAGGGTTGATGAGACTGGACTCACTAGAGGATGTGATCATCAGTAGTGATATATGTACTTCTATCTTCCTACTTCAAATGCTAAATGGTACTTTAAAAACAGGATTTTAAAGTATATTGAAGATGAGTTTTCAGACCCTGCCTTCAAAACCCAGAGGTTTCAAAATGACGAGAGGCAATGCCTTTGGCTTTTCTTGCACTCACAGCGATATTCTAAAACAAAAATAAATGCTCCAAGATTTACAAAACTGTGATTACCTGTGAGGAAATTTTTCAGGCTTGTTTTAGGTGTAAATTTGCGATTTGGGGTTTTTAAACCACTATCCTTTGGTCTAAACAGCGTAAAATGGCAGCCTGGGTTTGATTATCTCTTCGATTTTTATTTTCAGAGAATCATTGAAAGGATTGTTTACACCGACATATCTCTCAAAAAAATTTCAAATTTCACTAACAAGCATGACCCACTAACAACATGTTCAAAAACTGCTCTGAGCTGATACGAAAAATATAAGAAAAAATGAATACAATTGCATTTTAGAATGCATGTATAAAATAAAAGTAAAGAAGCTGACAGCTCAGGTCACAGACTTCAGTGGTACGTCAATTGTCTTTTGTCTGAGATAAAATAATTGCAGCATTTGAAGACTTTTATAAAAGTAAAGCTATTTGGGATCTTGTCTTCTTACTCTTCTACTCATCCCCACTTAACAAAACTCTAAAAACCATGAACTGAAAGAAAAAATCCTTAGATTATATGAATGTTGATGAAACTACAATTGAGGCATTGCCAGTTTAAAAGAACTAAAATAATCACAGCTTGTCCTGATTATATGTACTTACCAGTGCAAAATAGGCTGCTGACCAATTATACTCTCTTTAACTATTAACAGTAGTATCTTTGTTCTCAAACAATGTTAGATGCACATGTTCTCAAACTTATATTTACCTGGTGGATTCTTGGCAGGATCACTGTGGCTTGGACTTCCTGGCTGTCCAGAATCTACAAAGAAATGAAGGAAATGTTTTACTAATTTGTTTTGAAAGTATCTCACAACCCCTAATACCCCCCCTTCACTATTAAACTAATACTTAACTTTGTATTTTAAAGGTCATTTCCCTGACTTTCTACATGAAGGCATTATTGAACAAACACACTATATGTAACCTATTTTATGCAGAAGCAGGAACATTGTGAAAGATGCCACAATCCTAATAAGAGGAACTCATCGATCACTGAATAAGGACAAGAGAGTCATTCAGGTAAATACTCAAGTTGTAAACACATCTCCATCCCCCAAATATAATATTGCATAATCAGCAAAGCAGAGGTAGTTCCTTCTCAGGCAATGACCAGAAAGACATTGGATCAGGCAACTAACGGCATTTGCAGTGATGAGTCCTGTTTCTTTCCCTTTCCTTAAAGCACAAAGGCCTACGCTGTTTCCACAGACTCAGGACTGCACTGAAGATATGATTGTCCATTTTAATAAAATGCAGTCTTTCTGTTCCTAATCTGTGAGAACTGCTGTTGTGAAATTAAGATTATGTAATATAAAAAAATTAACAAAACCCAAATGCTGTAGACTTCAAAGAGTGTTCTTTTCATGATACAAGCACCTAATGAATCAATAGGAGAATGAAATTTGGTGTTAACACACTAAATAATAAATGATATCCTTATCCACAAAAGCAGTTTTTTAAAACTTTTTACTGTATTCCCATCCCAATAATATAACAAAACCCTGCTCCTCTGTAATAAATTGTTATTAACAAAGTTAAGACACGACAGACACTTGTAAGCAAAAAGAGTAAGAAACTAAATTAAGCATAACCATTTCTTCTGTATATAAGGTATCTAGAAAAGTACATATCAACAAATACTTCTCCTTCAGTCCCTCTAACTTCTTAAAGCAATGTAGCCCTCAACCTAGAATGAAAGATCCCCTCCAATTGCTATCATTGAAATCTGTTACCATCTGCTATGTACCTTAGCAAACACAGCTTGACGCACATATCTCTCAAACAGTTTAAGTTAACACAAGCTTGATTCTACAACAGATATTATCTATCTGAGATCAAAATTCATTGCATAGTTCAAATTCCGCTTAATTCATCTGAATTATGGTTGTCACAGAAGACAAGCACCTGGGCATCTACCAGAGTGCTGGAAGACCAAGGTACATGTAAAACCCAGTACCAATAGTATTAAAAACACAACTAAATTTTCCAATACTGAATGGAATCACTCTTGCACGCAATAAAATACACACTGGATAACAAATTTCACATGAAATTTTCTCTATTTTCTTCAGCCCTGGGTAGTAAGAATGAAGGGCAAGCCTCTCAGATTCTGCACATCCTATGGTTTGGGCACTTGAGTACTCTAAAGAGTCTCACTGTACAGTACAGTATGTAGCCATCCAGTATGACTGTTTCTTTTCACAATAAGATATAGTACATCTTTTTAAAAATCAGATCAAGTTAATTTGAACACTCAATCACCTACAAGAAATGCTAAAAATAGGCTGTTTCTCTGCATATGGACCTTTATAAGGACAAACACCCTCTTCCCTGTGTTGCAATGGGAAGGTTCACGCTTCAGGGGATGAACTTTAGTATTCTTAAAACAGGCATTCTTTGCTTCTGCAAACCATACATGTTATTATTTAAATTAAGATTATCAGAGAGGATTAGTTTTACACAGCAATGGTCTCAGTGTAAAACTACTGTAGATGCATGGCTAAATGCAGTATCAATTTGGTAGCAGATGCACCAAATAAAGCTTGGACAGTGCAGCTTGGGGAACACAGAGATTTGAAACTGGATTAATGAGGCCTACCAGAAAACAGCCTTTGAAGTTTTCTCCTGTTAAAATTCACTAAAAATATGAACAAAATTAAGAATAATTTTTAGCACTTTCACAGCAATTTGCCTTTACTCCTACTTCCTCATTGTCAATATGGCTACTTTCTGGATCCAGGATTTAAAGACTGATGGTAGTTTAAACAAATTTTTTTTATGTTATAAGATAAACTTAAATAATTTTCCAGATATAGGGATAAGCAGTTGGCTAGTTATTATAATTTGCCAGTCAGACTTAGCTTTGGTTTATGTTAACTAATTATCAATCACAATTTTTAAGATTGATTCTCACACAGTGTTTTCAGTAGTAGATGCTACTATCATATTTGCCAGCAGGGTCTCAATGATCTTGAGAAAGCAGAGAATTATTGTAAACTGAATATGAGAAGTAATTTATCTAAGCCTTCATTTAAAGCAGTTGAGAAAGCAAAGAACTGTATTCTGTATGAGAGTATCAACATACGTAACTCTGCACTTAAAGCACACAGAAGCACCTCATTCTCAGGATGAAAGACACAGATCTGAGATGGTCTGTGACAATCCAGTTCTCTTACTAGTGTCAGTAATTATAAAGCACTCTCCTGATTTGATTGGATGCAAACAGTCTTGCAAAGTACAAAAGAACCATGATCAGTATAGGAATAAATTATATGAATAAGTTAATTTATAAGCAGAACATTGAATGAAAAGAGACATTGGAGCAATGCTCCTCTAGAAGAGTGAATAAAATGCATTTTTGGAAAGCCACAGAAAATAAGGAAGCAAAAGACATGTTAAGACATTTTAAATCTTTCTTTGTCCTCATCTGCACAAGATCATTAATTAATAACATGAGCCCTGGGTTTGAAAATTGCAGGATTTTCTTCTACTGTGATGGCGAAAGACATAAACCAGACTCCTTGTCTGTCTAGCTGGCTTTGCATTAAATCTCCCCACCAAATAATTCTGTGCACATTAAAAACAAACAAACAAACAAAAAAAAAACCCAAAACACCACAACACTTCCTAAGCTAGAAGTTGTAAGCAAAGCTATACAACTAGTAGCAAATAAAACCCCATCATGAAAATTTTCAACATTGACATTTAGGTAGCTCCCAACTGTAAGTACCCTCTTTATTCTTTTGATTTGGGGTTGGTTTTGTTCACAGAAAGATGCTGCCATGATACATCTCTCTTGGTTTCATAAGGCAGAGGGGGGGAAAAAAGCTTATGGTTTACCACCCAGTTAGGGAAAAGATGGTCTCTTCCTTTACACCACCTTGTCTTTGACAAGCAGCAGCAGGGAAGGACTTGCACCCCAGAAAAGACAAGAAAGTCACACTGCTGTTCACCAGCTTCCTGGGGGATTTTTAGTATTGCTTACATTAGCAGTCTATTTCATTTTTCAGCTGATAAGAGAGGATACTGTCTTTAAAAAGTGAGTTACGCTATACCTCCTTTATGCCCCATACCCTACAAGGAATTTTGCTTTCAAAGTCCCCTGCATTAGCATAACACTGAAGGCCTTGAAAACAAATACAGACAGAATCTGTAAAAAGAAAAAATACTTTCTCGAGCCATGTCTTAGAAATAAGTAGATTCTCCACAGGTGTCACACTAATCAAATAAACTTCCTCAGTAGTTTCAATGAACACATTTCACTTTTCATTTGCCACAGGTCAGGAAACAGCCTTTGCACTCAGTTAATCCCAGCTGACAGACACTAATTTAATCATTCACTAGCATGTAAATACACCCTTGTTCTTTGATAGTCTGTGATTTGGGTATGGGGGAGGATAAAGCACCAGAGAGATGTGGCACCATGTCAGTATCAGTTTGATGCTGTTCAAGGCTTTACATACCTATACAGCATCTGACTTGACAACTGACAGAGTCACTACCATGAACAAGAATCACAACTACCTCCCAGACTGTCATCCTTCAGGATTACACTGCCACCTGACATCACAAACTTGAGGCAAATGGTTGTATCCCTGAAAATCACAGGATCATAGGACACCTCACTCTGGTAGGAGCCTGGGCAGGTCTTCAGTCCCAGCCCCTGCCCATGGAAGGCTCAGTCAAGGGATCAAACTCAGCTGCTCAGGTGTTCACAAAGTCAGGTCTTTACAAAGTCAGGGCAAAAAAGCCCTCAAGGATGGAGACAGCCCAACATCTCTGGGCCCCAGCTCCACTTCTGGGCTGTCCTCATGGGGAAAAGATTTTCCAAATCAATTCTTCATCTTTCAAAGACTTTCAGAATATCACTGTGGTAGGAAAGTATTCATGGCAACAAAAAAGCAAGGTATCTCCCTCTCCACCAAAACAAATAATGTGATCAGCAAAAATCCATAAAGCAAATAAGTGAATAATTTCATCTGTGTACTTTAAATCATTACCATGAATAATTATTTTCCTAATTTTACCACAGTTACCTTCTACTACCTACATTATTTTACCTTGACAAAGCAACTAATTGGATCAATAAAGTTCTCAAATACTTTTAACTATTTAATTCTGCAAAAGTAATGTCTTCCATTGTATACCACTCCTATATCAGATGACCCTGAATTATTGTACAATTTTACGAGCATTATTCACACCAGCTCTAGTGATACAACAGTTTGTTTATGGTATAAACAAGCTGAAAGTGTTTTATTGTATTAAGTATCTGCTGAAATTATGCTACAAACATGGAAATGGAATTAGTACAAATGCCATTCTTGTTTCCATAAGTATGTTAACTTGAGGGAGGGATTAATTTTTCACATTTTCATAGACTACTACATTTAACGGAAACAATTCTTCTGAAAATTTTCACTAATTGGTATCATATGATAAAATGCTCACCCTCGCCACTTTCTTTGCTAGAGAACAAATCTTAAAAGGAGCAGCTGAGGGAACTGGGGTTGTTTAGTCTGGAGAAAAGGCAGCTGAGGGGAGACCATATTGCTCTCTACAACCACCCAAAAGGAGGCTGTAGTGAGATGGGTTTTTATCTCTTCTTCCAAGTAACAAGTGCCAGGGCAAGAGGAAACAGCCTCAAGTTGCACCAGGAAAGGTTTAGACTGAATATTGGGAAAAATTTCTTCACCTAAAGGATTGTCAAGCATTTGAACAGGCTGCCCAGGTAAATGGTTACCATCCCTGGAG